ATATTTTGTTAAGAAGTCAAGACCCATAGTCAGTAAACACTGCTGTAGTGAAATTTATGAAGGTGCTTGAGCTGAGGAATAGACAAGGGCTTTAGGAATATGAACTGGACTGGTTGCACAGGATGACTTTTTGTGAAATAAAGAGCTTTTTCTTTTATAAAGTGTCTGTATCCTCATTTACCTTAATCTGGTTAAAAAACTTCTCTTCTAAAATACCACTTTGGAAGATTATGTTGTTTGGAGCTGGGTTCCAAAGAGGGGAAGAGACAGGGACATGTAGCTTAGGGGGTTATTGTGGACATTAGGGGAAGCATTTGTTGAATTAACGAATGTAGAGTGAGCAACGCCATTGTGAAACATGCTGAGAGGGAATGCGAGAATGATCTAAGGTGATATGATGGAAAATGAAGCATACAAGGCATATGTGGGGAAGAAAATAAGATTTAAAAAAATCAGCTTATGTATATGTATTGATGCATATATAAGAATCAAATTAGTCATAAATAAAATCTAAGTCATATGAAATAATTGTCTCAAAAACTTTTTAAGGCATTATAAGCCTTAAAAGCTACTCAACACTAAGCCTGCCAGTAATGCAATGAGAAATTCATAAACCCTCAGGAGAAAAGCAAAGAAACATTTGTATAGCATATGATCCAGGCATTGAATCCTTACAATTCTGTCAAACACATATTGATGCGCTTATCCTGTAGACAAGAAAACTGAGGTTCAGAGAGGTTAAGCAGTTTTTCCAAAGTTGAAGAGCTAGTCAGATCAAAAGTAGATATCTGGACCCACATGTGTCTGTTTCAAACCTTGGGCTTTATTGTTAGTGCAAAATTCCACTTACGAAAAAAATCTTAAAATTATTTTTTAAAGGAATAAGGTGTATTCCATTTCAGTACACAGTGTGACTTTTCAAACCAACCTGTGATCTCAAAATAAACTCCTTATAGTCCACCCTTGATTATTTACAGAGGAGAAATAAAGATTTATAATTAAATGATAGGTAATGCTTTCAAAATACTTTTTAAATTTAATTTTAAAACTGATGTGGTAGTTACAGTTGGGTGCAGGAGCCAAATATACTAAAGCTTTTAATTTAAAAACAGTTAGGAAGCAATTTTAGGAACAGATGAGAAACTGTCCATTTCTTTAATCATCTCTTCTCTCAACTGATTCCACATGGGGGAACAAACAAGTCACTTATCATTTTAACACAAACTGCCAACATGGGCAGTACTAGAAACTGTACCCAGAGCTGGGATTTCAATGGGAGGCAATAGATTAAATGTTAAATTTGGACTAAAAACGAAATTAGCAATTTCAAGAAAAACACATAATGAATTGTATGTATTTAAATATTAGCTCAAATTTTCATTATACTTTGTCAGATCATTTTCAAATTGGATACTTTAGGAACTGAAAAAATATGCTTTTAGTAAAATGACTTTGCCTTTTATTGTATCAAGTGTCTATATCTTCATTTATCTAAATCCTGTATATAAACTTCTGTTCTAAAATACCACATTGGCAGATTATATTGTTTGGAGCTGGGTTCTAAAGACAAATACGACAAATAATCCTTTGAAATGAACAACAAACAACAACCAGGTGGTTCCTATTATCGGCACAGAAATTTTTGCTTTGATGTGGGAATAGCAGCCCATTTCTCTGGATGGTTAATGAGCTCAAACATTCTCTTCTGGTGCACCAGCATCTACATCCTTCCCCTAAAGTAATTTTCTTAGCAAACTAGAAAACATTGTTTTCTATCTCCCTGATTCTACAGACTGAAATTAAAGCTCGGAACCTCTTACAAACTATTGCATCAGTCATCAATTTAAAATATACTACCAGGATGACAAGGAGTGCCTCAGAAGCCATTTCTAGGCACATATCCGTACCTTAGAAGTATTTTCAGGGATGACCTGTTTCCAATGGCTGAAATGTTATTAGATATAGGCCCCCTGCTATAGAGGCTTTTTGGAATCATATAATCCTTTGAATTTGGATAATCCTAAAGTGAGACATATCAAATGTATTGAGCCCCAATTCTGTTAGCAATGAATCCTTCCTAGCATTCCCATCAGAGTCATGCCTGTTGTGTTGGGGGTGAGGAAACTTAGGGATGAGAGATTAAACACTTAAGTAAAGCCAACAGTCAAATGGTACTAAGCTTTTATCCAATTGGAACACACAGATCAATCTCAAATTAATCTTAAAAGATATCTGCTCCAGTAGGACATTACTATTATTGTTCCGATGGTTTAAAAGAATCACAATATCGTGTATCCAGCCCTTTTGGGGGAAAACTTACACTTGTGACATACACATATATACTATTATGTACATTACTTATGTATATAAAGTTATATATACATAATAAGTATGTATACATAATTTTTCTACTATTCCTTCTAAAATTTTAGAAATTATTAAAAGAAAATTTTTTTGGCACTTGTTAAAGACAGTAAGGAAAACTTTATTCCAGGGACAAATGCATGGGGTTTTATAGTCGGGGAAAGAGTTGACGTTCAATTCTGAACATAGCAATAAAAGTGGGGATTTATAGTCAAGGAGCAGGATTGGGGTCAGTGGATGGAAAATCACTAAGAGGAAATACCATAAGTAAGGGGATTCTGGCCAAACTGACTTGACAGGAGTCTTGCTGAAAGCCAGGATGATCAGATATCAAGGATTGAAGATAAGGAATTTGATCAGATATGGGGAGTGGATTATTTTCATTAAATTGACCCAGCAGGATTCCTATTAAAACTGGACTAAAAGAGGCAGAGGACAGAGCTCAAGCTAGTACTAGAAACTGTACCCAGAGCTGGGATTTCAATGGGAGGCAATAGATTAAATGTTAAATTTGGACTAAAAACGAAATTAGCAATTTCAAGAAAAACACATAATGAATTGTATGTATTTAAATATTAGCTCAAATTTTCATTATACTTTGTCAGATCATTTTCAAATTGGATACTTTAGGAACTGAAAAAATATGCTTTTAGTAAAATGACTTTGCCTTTTATTGTATCACGTGTCTATATCTTCATTTATCTAAATCCTGTATATAAACTTCTGTTCTAAAATACCACATTGGCAGATTATATTGTTTGGAGCTGGGTTCTAAAGACAAATACGACAAATAATCCTTTGAAATGAACAACAAACAACAACCAGGTGGTTCCTATTATCGGCACAGAAATTTTTGCTTTGATGTGGGAATAGCAGCCCATTTCTCTGGATGGTTAATGAGCTCAAACATTCTCTTCTGGTGCACCAGCATCTACATCCTTCCCCTAAAGTAATTTTCTTAGCAAACTAGAAAACATTGTTTTCTATCTCCCTGATTCTACAGACTGAAATTAAAGCTCGGAACCTCTTACAAACTATTGCATCAGTCATCAATTTAAAATATACTACCAGGATGACAAGGAGTGCCTCAGAAGCCATTTCTAGGCACATATCCGTACCTTAGAAGTATTTTCAGGGATGACCTGTTTCCAATGGCTGAAATGTTATTAGATATAGGCCCCCTGCTATAGAGGCTTTTTGGAATCATATAATCCTTTGAATTTGGATAATCCTAAAGTGAGACATATCAAATGTATTGAGCCCCAATTCTGTTAGCAATGAATCCTTCCTAGCATTCCCATCAGAGTCATGCCTGTTGTGTTGGGGGTGAGGAAACTTAGGGATGAGAGATTAAACACTTAAGTAAAGCCAACAGTCAAATGGTACTAAGCTTTTATCCAATTGGAACACACAGATCAATCTCAAATTAATCTTAAAAGATATCTGCTCCAGTAGGACATTACTATTATTGTTCCGATGGTTTAAAAGAATCACAATATCGTGTATCCAGCCCTTTTGGGGGAAAACTTACACTTGTGACATACACATATATACTATTATGTACATTACTTATGTATATAAAGTTATATATACATAATAAGTATGTATACATAATTTTTCTACTATTCCTTCTAAAATTTTAGAAATTATTAAAAGAAAATTTTTTTGGCACTTGTTAAAGACAGTAAGGAAAACTTTATTCCAGGGACAAATGCATGGGGTTTTATAGTCGGGGAAAGAGTTGACGTTCAATTCTGAACATAGCAATAAAAGTGGGGATTTATAGTCAAGGAGCAGGATTGGGGTCAGTGGATGGAAAATCACTAAGAGGAAATACCATAAGTAAGGGGATTCTGGCTAAACTGACTTGACAGGAGTCTTGCTGAAAGCCAGGATGATCAGATATCAAGGATTGAAGATAAGGAATTTGATCAGATATGGGGAGTGGATTATTTTCATTAAATTGACCCAGCAGGATTCCTATTAAAACTGGACTAAAAGAGGCAGAGGACAGAGCTCAAGCTCTGGGCCGAAGGCAGAAGGAAGGTTCAAAGGGGACTAAAGTCACATTTGGTCAAGACGGCAGTCTTTGTTCAAATAAAATTTAAATTACCTGGGAGGAAACACTGATCAGAATATAAGGTCATGAAATATTCACCTCTCAAAACAAGGCAGAGATATCCTAACTCTTAGTCCTGCACCACCACCACCAAAAGCTACTGAATGCTGCTGGTTGTCAGGCCCTTCACAGCAGGTCTGGGACTAAAAAGTAAGACGCATTCGGCCAAGATAGTCCTTAAAATACGGCGATTAAAACTGGCAATTTATAAAACAATAACAAAACTGCCATTAGAGCAAGAACTTCCACAGGTTCTCCTTTAAAAGAGAAACAGGAAGAAAAGATTTACCCTTCAATCAAACCTGTCTCTTCGCTCCCCTCTAAACTCTCAATCCTCTTACGTGCTCCCCACCGCCGTCCCTGGCCCTCCGGAGCCCCCTGCGCCTGCGCACATCCCGTTACCGCCAGCAGGGGGCAGGCCAGGATTTTCCGTCCGCCGCCGCTGGGCTCTGGTGCCCCTCTTCTCTGTAGCCTTTCACCTGGTTACGGCCTGGATACGCTTCCTTAGCAACGGAGCCTTTGGCAACAGGAGGACGCGGCCGGCGGGCGGTTTCCAGCAGGTTCCTAGTACCTGCTTGCGATCCGAGGCTCGGGCCGAACAATGTCAGAGATCCTGTGCCAGTGGCTCAACCAGGAGTTGAAGGTGTCCCAGACCGTGAGTGAGTGACACGGCCCAGGGAGAGCGGGCTAGGGTCCTGCGAGCGCGGATGGAAAGTGGAGGGAAAGGTGCGAGCTGCGCAGGTGGGGCGCCTGCGGGTCCGCAGCGCCCCAGGCCGGTCCTTTGGGCCCCTCCAGCTCACCTCGGTCACCACAGGGCTTCTCCCATGTCCGCCCCGCCGCTGCCGAGTTATCCATCATTACGGTGGGCCTAACGCCGCAGTATCTGACCCACTGTGTGGTTCTAAGCCAGCAGAGGATTGAGGGAAGGCTCCTTTCTCCTGTGGAGAGAAGAATTTGTTGGACTCTAATCTGGGCCTGACATTGCTCTCTTCACATACTGAGAAGCATGGTGTGCTGGCTGACCAATGAAACAGGAAGCCTTAAAGCCAGCTACTGCGTTATTAGATATGTGTCCCTGGACAAACTACCATACTTTCTGAGTGTTCCCTCCAGTACAAAATAGATCCAATCAGACTTTCCATACCTAACTGTCTAGAAGGAGAGGGGTGTCTGTGAAATGAGCTAGTAGAGGATATGTTAACATTCACAAATTTGAGCAGTTTTAACTGCTTGCACATTTACAGACATTAGCTGTTTCGGACCACTGCTCACTCTTGGCCAAAGCTGACCTTATTCACTAACTTGGTTTTATCTCAACCATGAAATTGCCACCCCAAACTTTTAAATCCCACAACCACAGAAGCAGTTTTACATGCTGGCAACTTCTATGGCTGCCAAGTAATTTCAGCACAGCACTCTGAACTTCTCCATCGCAACTTCTTTCCATTGATTCTTCAACAAGAGTTCATTTTCCAGCTGGTAAGGGTTTTGCTCAAGGAAAGAGATTTTCAGCTCAAGTCATTTCAGTCTGTTTTCCCAGAAGCACCTTGAATAAGGCCAAGTTTTACAGGTGGCAACACTACCAACCTAACCTTAGGTCATTCACAGAATTTGCTAGACTAGTTGTGTTTCTGCAGCAACAAAGTGCTTATTATCAGCATTAGAATCTTTAACATTGGAGCACCTCCAGTTGCATTTCTTGAGGCAAAAACCCGGGACCTTTTCTTTGCCAAATCACCACCCACATGTTCCCTGCAAACCACAATAAATTCTTTCCCAGGATTCTATGATCTTCCCATCATATCCCTGCTTCTCACCTAAATATGATGCTGAACTGAGGACAATATTTCACATTTTTCTTTTCTTATTCCTCTCTCACCATAGGAGCCAAAGTACAGTATCATGCCCTTAAGTTATATTCTTCCAAAGAAAATCAGTTGCACATTGCTGAATTTAATTTGGTTCATTTATTTGATTAGTAAAAGGCACATACTTTGCTCAAGTCCCGAGGACAATATTGCATATTGAAACACTTTTGCAAAAAATAAATGACATTAATAAAAGACATAAAAATGGTAGTCTGCCATTATAATTGTAACCAGTTTTTGGAATTTTGGTTTTGAGAGGAGAAGGAAGAACTACTTCACTGTGTGGAGATTAAAAGATTGGAAACTGTTTAAGTAAGAATTTTAACAACATAAACTATGAATGGAAAATTCCCAAAGACTTTTTCCCTTAAGTATAAATCCAGAAGGTGTTAGCAGAGACAGCCATGGCATTCTGCATCACATCACTAGCAGTTGTTTCTTGATACCAACTGTTAAGAGTAGCCAACAGAGAGAGTCAGTCCCTGAAATAACCAAGTTCCATACTGTAAAAGGCTGTAGGGAGTGCACCCAACTGCATTTGGAAACAAACAAGATAGGGTCTGTGCAACTGAGGAAGCACACTGCCTGTTGTTGGTGCCCATCATTAGATAAGCCATTATGTGCTCTGAAATGAAAGGCTTTGTCTAACTTAACTGTACTACCATGGAAGGACTGTAAGTGGGCATAACCTCTGGGGAAAGTAATCGTAATTCTGAGATAAGGGTCCGGTCCAGAGCAGGTACTTAGAGGCCAACTGCCTGGGTTGAAATCCCCCATCTACCACTTAATCGCTAGTATCATGATACTCAAAATAGGAGTAATGATAATACCTCATTAAGTTGTGTCAAGATTGCATGAGATAATAAATGTAAAGCATTTAAAATACTACTTGGGACATAGTGAATACTAAATCTCACTTTTCAGAAATTACCATACAAAAATAAAATAAAATCACCAATATGTAAGAATATTTGAAAAATGATGTTTATTGCTACATGGATTATAGGAGCAAAAGAAAAGAAATGGAAGCAATCTGAATATCCTTCAATAGTAAAATACTTGGATAAATGATGCTGTATTCAAGCTTTGGATTATTATGCAGTTATTAGAAATAGCCAATTAGTTGTTACAACTTTTGACCTAAAGGATATTCATGTATTTTTGTCAATTAAAAAACAAAAATTATAGCTCACTGTGACTAGTATAATTCCGTTTTTGTGCCAGCTAGGAAATGCAGAGAGTGACAGACTGACACACACACACACACACACACACACACACACACACACACACACACACACGTATATACATGAATATGTATATTTGTTTATATAGGCATAGAGAAATGTGTGGAGAAACCTATACTGTACTTTTGATATATACATGGATTTTCATATTTTGGCTTCTGCAAGCACCCTGGAGAAGAAGATTGCTGGCTTTTCTTAAAAATTAAAGTATCATCGATATACAGTCTTATGAAGGTTTCACATGAGCAATCTTGTGGTTTCAACATTCACCCATATTATCAAGTCTCCCCCCAACCCACTGCAGTCACTATCAGTGTAGTAAGATGCTATAGAGTCACTACTTTTCTTCTTAGTGCTGTACTGCCTTCCCGATGACCTACCTATATTATCAGTGCTAATTATAGGGCCCCTTAATTTCCTTCTCCCTTCCTCCCCACACACCTTCCCCAACACCTTCCTTTTGGTAACTGCTAGTCCCTTCTTGGAGTCTGAGTGTGCTGCTGTTTTGTTCCTTCAGTTTTGCTTTGTTGTTGTACTCCACAAATGAGTGAAATCATTTGGTACTTGTCTTTCTCCACCTGGCTTATTTCATTGAGCATAATATCCATAATATGGATGGACTACCTCCATCCATATTGTTGCAGGTGGTGGTATTTATTTTCTTTTTATGGCTGAATAATATTCCATTGTGTATATGCAACACATCTTCATCCTTTCATCTACTGATGGACACTTAGGTTGCTTCCATATCTTGGCTATGGTAATATATACTATTTATAGTAATATTTATAGTAAATATACATATACACTATATACAAATATATACTATTATATACTTGTAAATAGTACAGCAATAAATATAGGGGTACATATGTCTTTTTGAATCAGGGATCTTGTTTTGTTTGGGTAAGTTCCTAGGAATGGAATTACTGGGTCAAAGGGTATTTCTATTTTAAATTTTTTGAAGAACCTCCATATTGCTTTCCACAATGGTTTATCTAATTTACATTCCCACCAACAGTGTAGGAAGGTTCCACTTTCTTTGCATCCTTGCCAGCATTTGTTATTTCTTGTCTGTTGGATGTTGGCCATCCTCACTGGTGTGAGGTGATATCTCATTGTGGTTTTAATTTGCATTTCCATGATGATTAGTGATATGGAGCATCATTTCATGTGCCTGTTGGCCATTCATATTTCTTTGGAGAAGTGTGTGTTCAGATCCTCTGCCCATTTTTTAATTGGGTTATTTGTTTTTTGGGTGTTGACGTATGTGAACTCTTTATGTATTTTGGGTGTTAACTCCTTCCAGATAAGTTGTTTACAAATATATTCTCCCAAATTGTAGGATGCCTTTTTTTTCTGCTGATGGTGTTCTTTGCTGTACAGAAGCTTTTTAGTTTTATGTAGTCCCATATGTTCATGTTTGCTTTTGTTTCCCTTGCCCAAGGAGATGTGTTCAGAAAAAGGTTGCTCATGTTTATATTCAAGAGACTTTTACCTATTTTTCTTCAATGAATTTTATGGTTTCATGACTTACATTCAGGTTTTTTTTATCCATTTTGAGTTTGCTTTTGTGTATGGAGTTAGACAGTAATCCAGTTTCATTCTCTTACATGTAGCTGTGCAGTTGTGCCAACACCAGCTGTTGAAGAGGTTGTCATTTCCCCATTGTATGTCCATGGCTCCTTTATTGTATATATGAATTGGCCATATATGCTTGGGTTTGTATCTGGGCCTTCTATTCTTTTCCATTATATATGAGGATGGTCTTATGCCAAGATAAAATTGTTTTGATTACTGTGGCTTTGTAGTAGAGCTTGAAGTTAGGGAGCATAATCCCCCCAGCTTTATTCTTCCTTCTCACAATTGCTTTGGCTATTCAGGGTCTTTGGTGGTTCCATATGAATTTTACAACTATTTATTTTAGTTCACTGAAGAATGCTGTTGATATTTTGATAGGTATTGCATTGAATCTGTAGATTACTTTAGACAAGAGGGCCATTTTAACAATATTAATTCTTCCTATCCATGAGCATGGGATGTAGTTCCATTTATTGGTGTCTTCTTCAATTTCTCTTGAGTGTCTTGTAGTTTTCAGACTAAAGTTCTTTCACCTCCTTGGTTAGATTTATTCCTAGGTATTTTATTCTTTTTGATGCAATTGTAAATGGAGTTATATTCTTAAGTTCTCTTTCTGCTCATTCATTCTCAGTATATAGGAATGCAACAGATTTCTGTGTATTAATTTTGTATCCTGCAACTTTGCTGTTCTTCCTTCTCATGATTGCTTTGAGTATTCAGGGACTTTGGTGGTTCCTGAAACTTTGCTGAATTCAATCATTAATTCTAGTAGTTTTGGGGTGGATTCTTTAGGGTTTTTATGTACAGTATCATGTCTTATGCAAACAGTAACAGTTTAACTTCTTACTTACCAATCTAGATGCCTTTTACTTCTTTGTGTTGTCCAGTTACCATGGCTAGGACCTCCAGTACTATGGTGAATAAAAGTGGTGAGAGTGGGCATCCTTGTGCCTAATCATAGAG